CTGTGCTGGCTGGGGAATTCTGGGAGTTGAAGTCCACGTCTCTTAAAAGTCGCCAAGGTTGAAAAACCCTGCCTTAAACTGTTGAGTTCTCAGGAATGTGGAAAGACCTATCCATATTTAGACAAAACCTATTTTCCATCTAGAACCTCCTGCAGGCCATTTCATACAGCCCCTGTGTCTGCCGTGACATCCATACCCAAGACGGTGAAGTCCAACCAATCCGGGTCTTTTGGCCAGCAGCAACTGTAAAAGATGGCAGAATTCCAGTCTTCCAACCTCCCACGACCAGACCAGCACCACCATCGAGGCTGCAAATCCTTCTTCCCGCCCTACCAACCCCAGTACAAACGTCTGCCTCGGCTGCAAGATTGCGGAAAGGCGCTTGGAACAAAGTGGTTTGGGCGAAAGGTCTTGCAAATCCCACCTTGTGCTTCAGTTTTAATATTTTGAGGGCCTCCACCCTTTCGGCCAGCAGCGAAACACAGGAAGTAAGTTCCAGCAGAGAAGGTCCTTTTCATCATCAGACCAGAGCGGAAGGAGCAGAACACTTGTTTGGTCAGAAAACTAACTTATTCGCTTTCCCCAGGACTCTTGGCCATTACTCAGCAGTTCTTCCACTTTAAAATCTGGCAGCTAGGCTTACATGTTTCCCCTTCCTTCCTTCCTTCCTTCCTTCCTTCCTTCCTTCCTTCCTTCCTTCCTTCCTTCTCATATAGCTAGATCCCTCCCTCCCTCCTATACATATAGCTAGATCCTTCCTTCCTTCCCATATAGCTAGATCCCTCCCTCCTTCCTTCCTTCCTATACATATAGCTAGATCCTTCCTTCCTTCCTTCCTTCCTTCCTTCCTTCCTTCCTTCCTTCCTTCCTTGCTAGATCCCTCCCTCCCTCCCTCCTATACATATAGCTAGATCCTTCCTTCCTGCCTTCCTTCCTATATAGCTAGATCCCTCCCTCCTTCCTTCCTTCCTATACATATAGCTAGATCCTTCCTCCCTCCCTCCCTCCCTCTTTTGGAGGATCAACCTGCAGACAGGAACCCTTCCGCTTTCACTGATTAGATCCAAGCCAATCTGGGAACCTTTTCCAGCTGACGAATACAATTTAAAAGCTTAGAGAGAGAAATTGCGGGAACTCCTCATATACCATGTACAAGAGCCCACAAGTCCTTCAAGAAGTAGAGAACATATGTAGCTCAGGAGTTGAACTCTTCGGTTGTTTTTTGCAGATGTTTCATGACCAGACTAGATACCATCATCAGTGCGAGGGAAAGTAGGGTTTGCTGGCCATCTATATAGGGTAGTTTGCTCTGCCAGTCTCGGTGGAGTTGTGGCTTCCTATTTGACAGTTCCCACACCCTCAGGGCAAGCTACCCTATATAAACCACCAGCAAACTCACTCTCTCTCTCGCCCTGATGTTACCTAGCCTGGTCATGAAACATCTACAAGACGACAACCAAGCTCAGAGAGCACCACAAACTAAACAGCTCCTTTCATTCCTGCTTGACTGATTTATATCTCATCACTCAGAGGTTAACCCTTCAGTCTTTGGCATGAGGAAGTGAATCTGTGCACATTTCCATCATCTTACAAGTTCCAAATCCACCAAACCAGTGATTTTCAGTGACCAAACAGTTTAGCCACACCTTTTAAAATTGTCTTTCATGCAACAGGGCCAGGTTTTATTAATAACACAACTCGAGAAGGAAAATATTAAAAACACACTTGTACACAAAGCAAAAAGGTCATTGTAAGTAGTCCTGAGTCAGAAAGGCACATAGAATAAGGGTGAAAATAATTCCACTTTGGTGGAAAACATGGAATCAACCCCCCTCCAAATCTTCTAAGCTGATGGTTCTTGACGTGGTAGATGATTCTCGAAGTTGTGCCCATCAAATGCTTCTTGAAGCTCTCTGTGCCCATCTAATGGACTTTCCATCTTCAATGAAACAGTAAAGAGGTGCTTTATCCATGCTCTGTTCTTCCTGCAGCAGATCCCTGAAATGTTTTGGTTTTTTTGCCCTCAAAGATCTGCTAAAGTCACATTCCCCAACTTTGGCCTCTTCAGAGAAGATGGGACTTCCAGAATCCCTAGCCAGTTCAACCACAGTTGGAATTCCACCACCTCTGGAAAGACCAAAGTTGTAGAAAGCTACACTGAGATAACTTCAACAGAGAGAAACGTGGCTTCCAATCCACCACCCTGGCCTTTGTGGATTGTCCAAGGACAAGGACCCACTGTCCCCCCCCCCCGCCTCCCCCCCCCCCCGCCAGCTGTCCTTGGAGACACTGTCACTCTGCAATGCAAGAATTAGAAACTGCAGAAAGGTGAGGAGTTTTTTTTCCAAAAAAAAAAAGAAGAAGAAAACACCAGTGTTACTAAAAATATTTCAGTAGGATCAACAAAGTTTTGGTGGGGCACCACAGAAGGAAGCAGTGGTAGGATTTCTGAAATACTGCACTCCTTCTAAGGCTGGAAGGACTACTTGGATCTTTGCAAGCCACCTCTTCACATGTAAACCGAGGAGAGGGGTCCCATCACAATTAAGGATAACTCATCTTCCTCCTCCGGAGCCCCCAACAGCATTTCTAGGCAAGAAGGACATCTTCAGTGACACAGCTGAAGACAACTGGATGTCATGACAGATAGTGAACAGCAAGGCAAGTCGCTCAGGTTTTCCAAATTATACAATGACACTGATGCTTTGTTGTCTTAACTCTGTCCCTTGCTGGGAGGGCAGATGTCCATCAGGTAAGGTGTTTATATGCGTAAAAGTGCCAATCCCCCTCACAAAACATCAGAACAGACTCTCAGCTAGAATCTCTTTAGAACACTTTTTCTCAACCTTGGCCACTTTACGATGTGTGGACTTCAACTCCCAGAATTCCCTAGCCAGCATGGCTGGCTAGGGAATTCTGGGAGTTGAAGTCCACACATCGTAAAGTGGCCAAGGCTGAGAAACACTGCTTTAGAACAATCAATGCATCAAGCCACTGCCCCAAATATCACTCTTCAGGTAATGACTTACCTTCTTTTCTTCACTTATTTCTGCTGAAATTCCCAAGGAGGGATCCAAGGAACTGAACTGGACAGAAAAGGGGTACAGGGCCACTCGAGGCCCTAACAGAAGCCAAATTCCAGGTCTGTGGCAACAATCAAAACAGCCAAAACCTCCCAGGGGCCACTCTTATATTAAGCCAAACTTCCCCAGCGTGGGCACCCTCTGTGGTGGCCAAGGGTGATGGGAATTGTAGTGCTAGACATCTGAAGGGTGCTTAGCTAAGGAAACATGGACTAAACAACCCCCAATCAGGGCAGGGGCCGGGGTAGGGGAAGTGTGCAAGAAACAGAAGATGATTCCAGTTCCCTGCAAAACCTTATTGCATCATATTCAGAGT